GCCATCCCGGAAAGGGATCTAGGTTGATTGGATTTGCTGGCTGTTTGCAAGTCTTTGGCCTCGCTTTAATAAAGCCGTCCAGCAGGTACTCTTCAGGACCTTTCTCCTTCAACTCGAGAGCATTTTGCCTCAACATTTTTCAAGCAGAGAGAAAACAGCGGTGGAATTCATGTCGCACTGTCAGGGAGCTCTAGCCTGACGCATTTTCTGCTCCCAACCGTCTTTGACATGACTGTTCCAACTCAAACTTGTTTGGGCGCGAAACGCTTGGGCACCCTCTGGCGCGCGAAAAAAACTGCCCAGCCCAGTCTCGGGCAACCCAATTTTCCGAGTCCGTCCAAGAGTGCGGCCACGAGACCCGAAGAGCTTGTTCAGCGCGCTGTGCCAGTCAGGTGTCCTGCCCCGTGGGAAGCTCCACCCATAAAGCACGCGCCCAGACCGGTCTAGCCCTTGATGGCTCCGAACCGAGACGGCCTGGCGCCACACAACCACGCTCGGAGCGAGACGTGGATTCCTTCCGGCAAAGCCGACTTGCTTCATTCATTTGATTGCGCCAGCAAGACAAACGGCTCAGAAGATGCACTCAGGGTCTATAGAAGGCATTGGGTCGCACGCACAAAATTAGCTGAGTGTTTCTGTAAACTCCCGGACAAGATCTACAAGATGTCTCAACACGCAGCCTTGGCAGGATCTGTTGCGCGGGTCTCTACGCAGACATCGGTTGGGTGAATGAACTCTGGGCGTCTCTTTTATACGCTAATGTTGAACCTTCCTGTATTGATAGTACCCTCTATTGTACGAACTTGCTTCTAATTCAGGATCGTTTGACTGTTTTAAGGGTCCTCTATTATGGAAAGTTTTGTCGAAAACACGCTGGGGAAATATGGGCAAAAAAACGGGCAAACAAATCCTGGCAAACATTTGGAATCCTTTTCTTGGTCCCAAACCATCAAATTCAAGATAACTTCTTTACAAAAAAGTGCGGGCAAACAGTCACACAAAGGAGGGCGCCCACAAGAGGCCCAGATCCTCTTTAATGCGATTGTTTTGGGGTCCTCTTTAGTGTCCAACTGGTTTTGGGGGTTGCTGAAGAAACGATCTTGGCAGTACTAAAGTAGAAATTGCAATACTGTACTGGGAATCTGAGAGTCAGTGTTGGCAATACTAAAGTCGAGTTGGCAATGCTAAAGTAAGTACTTGGAAGCTGAGAGTCAGCCTTGGCAATACTAAAGTAGGATTGGCAATCTTAAAGTAAGTACTGGAAAGCTGAGAGGGAGCTTTGGCACTTGGCCTGCGCCTCTCAGCAGCACTCTGTAACAGCACCCATTGTAATTCTCAGCCCGCTTGGAATTCTGAGTCTCGCCCACCTCGATAAAGGGGAATAAGAAAAAATAAAAAAGCTCGCAGCTCTCGCATGGGATTGCCAAGCAAAAGGGAAAGACTTGAGGCAAAACTACAAGTAATGAAGGTGGGAAGCAAAAAAGCAAAAAGCCGCTCCCCTCCAAGGCTTTGCAAAATCCTGAGTCCACTTTGATATCCCGCATCCCCTCCTGAGAGGCACTTCCCCCAGCTGCGCTTCCAGTCCTCAAACAGGTTCGGCGCTCGGAATTGAAGTCTGCCAACTCTCTGGGCAAAAAGCTTGACGCCAACCCCGTCCCTTCTGAATCGGACAGTTGTGTTGAGCTGGCGGAAGAAATGTCCGATAAGCGCCAGCTTGCTGTCGAAGACTCTAAGCATCTCACCTTCAAATGGCTCGCGTGCAATCTCGAGCCCAAATGCCCTTCAGGGCATTCTCTTCCATGCATTCTCAACAAGCTTCAGACGGGGCGATCCTTCCATGGTACTTATGGTACTTGGCAAAATCATTTCGGGAAATGAGGAAATGGCCGCAGAAAGCTGACTCCCTTGTTGGCTTCCTGAGCTCTGGCAGCTATTGGTGATTTGACCTCTTCCTCTGGGGTAACTCCTATACCACTTAGCCAAGCAAAAGCTGTGATGGACACACCGCAAAATAGATTGCAGCAACTCTCGCAGGCGTTGCGCAATTCACAAGAAAGCCCCACCAGCGGAATTGCCCAGGACAGCTCCAGCCAACCTGGTTGAATCAGCACCTGGGCGATTTCTGCTGTTTTGCGTTCACCGTTCAGGCTCCACTTCTCTTCAGCTCAAGCGAAAGCAGTAGAAAAGAAACGCAACGCATCCTGAACATTGGGGCCTTAACTTCCTTGGCTTTTGACAGGCTTGAGGCTCACCTGACACTTGGAGCACTGCCGCAAAGCACGTGATGCAGTAGAAGGTAGCCTCAAGCCATGGTCATCAGCTTTGCCCATTAACTCAATATAGCTTAAAGTTGGTTCATGAAATTGGGACAAAAAACGTGGCGCCTGGTTGATGCCTGTTTACCACCAGCAATATTGAAACAGCGGCGCAAGCCCGGACGCATGCTTGATTCCATTCAAGCGGTCCTGGTGCTACTAAAATGCGGCCCAGTTCCCCCCCCCCCGCCTGTTACTTCTACGAGATGCGGCATGGCTCATGTTAGGCAGTCTCGTCTTCCCAGCTTCGATGCACCAGCTTGCTGCAACTAGGCGGGGTTGCAAGTCTCCGCGTCTTAACTTCAGCAGCTTGGTATTGACAATTGGTTATGGGTCAAGCCCTAACTCGACTCTGGTTGTTCAGGAGGAAGGGATAGCTTAATGAGAAATCTGGCAAGCGCGGAAAATCATCAGACCACCCTCTCTTGCAGTCTGGCTGCTTCCAAACAGGAGCAGCGACGGAAATTGGTGCCAAACCAGCACCATCTTTCCAGCGTTCCACGAGGGCAATCGTGTCACACAGTAAGCACGCGATTTCAACGTCTTGCACAGCTTGGTCGGCTTGGCTGAACGAAAACACGCATCTGCGCGAACCACGCGCATCTGCGAGAACCAATTCGCACAAGTTGTCCCTTTCAGCCCGGCTAAGCTTAAGGACCCTACAAGGTGGCTCACGAACTGGATCGAAGTGCAAGGCCTTCGTCGCCTTGGCAAGCTCACTGTACTGCGTGGTGTTTCATGGGGCTCAGGTTGTGTTGGTTGGCTCCAAAATGTCCAGCCAGTCGACCCCAAACCCCTCTGTGTAGATACTGTCGTGTGGAGACAGGCCAAAGAATATCAAAGGAGCCCATGCCTCATCCGTAACCGTCCACTGGCAAAGGTCTTGCATGGCACTGCGAGCAACCAGCAACAACAGTAGAAGCAACAAAGACACCAACATGATGCGTTGAGGCAAGGTGTGGGCCTGCCGCTTGTTTTGCTTCGCCCCTTAAGAAAGGACCCCTTTTGCTTGTGCTTTTCGGACCTGCGGCCCCACATCGCAGTGGACGAGGCCAGGGCACGATCTATTGGGAGTAAGACCCACTTTGGCACGGCATGGTAAGGGACCAGAGGCCACGCACTGCCTTTACTGCGCGGAGCCTTCTGTGGGACGTCGGCCGCGGTTGGCTTTCGCAGCGGCAGATCGCTTAGGCAGCAAGGTCAATCCTGGCGGCCGAGGGCCAGTCAATGAGAACGGTAATGGACGAGCAGCTCTACTTGCGGATTGGATGGAATCCTTGGCTTGTCTGGGACCGGGCGGGCCAGCTGCATCATGTTCTGAAGGGTTCCCACCTTGTGCCAGCCAGCGGATGGGGGATGGGCTCTTCAGCGAGTTCCGCAAGAAGGGCGCGATCAGCATGAAGCGAGAAAAGGCTTCTTTGCAGAGGTCAGCGTGTGTGGAGCAAAGGCAGCATCTTACCTCAGCATCCCCTGAGGGGAGACAGCCCGCATCGCACGCATGTCACGGAAGCCATCGATGTGCGAATCAGCGAAATACCTGCGAGCCTTGCCCCGCCTTGCTTTGCTTCGCCCCTTAAGAAAGGGCCCATTTTGTTTGTGCTTTTCGGACCTGCGGCCCCGCTCATAAATCCCACTCATAAAGTTTCGAAACTGCTCCGCCAATTCGAGGCGCCCCAAACTGAGCGTCCACCTACCTTGGCTTCTTCCCAGCGGGGTTCCAAGACAGCCTCGGAGAGCCTCCGGGGGATCTGGGCTCGCCGGCACGGCGTGCTGCCGCTGCTTGTAGGCCGGCATGGCGCCGCCGGTTTGGGAAACCGAAAGTTCACCAGCTTGGAGTCCGCGCGGGGAGGAGCAAAATTCCTGACATGGAAAGAAGGCCAACTGTCTTGACCCGGAAACGGCATTGGCAATAGAACCTGCTCTTTTTGGTACTCTGCAGCGTCAGTATGTCATGGCTGCGCGCATAGGCCCATGGATGTTTGTTGTCTACACTTTGGTAGGAGTGTGGGACAATGCCTATCTTCCAAGTTTGGGTCACACAAGGTGGCCATGGTGCCCCACAGTTGCGGTTGCTCTACAAGGCAGACATGACTTGCACATAAAGTGCGCTCGGAGATCTATTTGCACCCATGCAACTGACTGAGGGCAGCAGGCGGCAAGCGTCGCAGCAAAAACGAAACATCCTACCACACCTGTTCTGATTAAAAACAAAGCTCGGCTAACCACCACCGCCGGCCTCAACTGGACGACAAACTGACTGTCCAACCAAACTCGGCAGCGCGCTCATGAGCCAAAGGCTTCAACACAGGGCTGGCAGAGTCAAGTTGAAATAGGGCATGCCCCCTGTTGGAAAATTGCTTTCAAGTATGCAGCCTGCTGGGTTAGCCACAGCCCCCCAAACCCGAGGCCGCCGGCTGGACGGGCCTCAGTGCCACTCGGTAGGCGCTTCAGGGCTGATCGAATTTGGAATGGCTGGCAATCCGTTAGGCCTTGGCTGACAGCCACCATGGCTTCAGCCGGGTCATTGGCGCAAAGCGCGTGGGATGCGTCATCCATCACTTGGGCTTCGCGCTGCGCTCGCCTAGGAGTCCATTTTTGTGAATAACAAGGACATGGCAAGCGGAAACATAGCGGCCCAACAGGTTTAGTGGCAATTCGCCCAAGCCCCCAGCCGGACAAGTCTCCAAAACTGCTCAAAACCCAACCGGTCGAACTGCCCCAGCCAAGCTCCTCGAAAGAATGCTCTTGCCCGGGAACTGGAGACTCTGCAGCCTATGGCCCGGAAAACCCCCATGCGTGACATCCACAGCGGGTCGAAGCACGGGACCGATGTTGAGCAACCAACAGCTTTCTGGATTTCCGACCGGGCCTGACTCCAGCTCCGTGAAGGCCTCATCCGAAATGGGAAATGCCGCACTCCAAAGATCGGTCTGAGATAGGCGCAAACAGATGCGAGACGCCAAGCGCAGGTCCCCAAACATCCCCGATGCCTTGGACTATTAGAGCGCCTTGCGTTTTTCCATTTCCGCTTTGGTCTACGTCCTGCCTCTGGGAGTTCGAGGCTTGGAAAGGAACTCGAAGCCGACTGGCTGGGCACCCGCACGCCGCCTTCCCGAACAGCCGGCTCTCGAAACCCTTTCGAGGCCACGAACTTGACAGCGGAATTCCCCCGACACTTGCTCTCAGATAGAAAGACTCCTGCCAAACTTGCCGCGCAAAAGGGCACGTCACTCTTCATGCGGGAACAAGCCGATTGAGAATCGCAAAAGCGGCCAATCGCCCCATCGTAAGCCATTCGGATCGGCATCCGAGTCAAGACTCGCCGCCTCCTGACCAATCTTCTCCATCCTCGCGCCTAGCACAGAGGCTGACAAGGAGCTTTGGAACACGTGGACTGCAGGAATGTGAAAAGCGCCGCCAGACTTTGTGCGTTTCAAGCTAGCATTGTGCTTTGCGAAAGTCTCTCAAAGTATCAACCCAAAGTTGGGCACTGTCCAAACCCTTGCAAAAAGCACCCTCTGCGCGCTTGGCCCAGACGCCAGGATTTGGTTCTTGCCACCAAACACCATTGTTTGGCACACATTTGTTTTTTTGTCCACAGACAGGGCTTCTCATGCTGGACAGGCAATTATTGGCCCACATTGTTGTATCTTTTTCTGCTCATTCTGGCATGCACTTGACAAGGACCTGGAGACCAGCCCTTGTCTTTTTTACAGGCATGGCTGCTCATGAACGTCAAAGCCATTTTGGCAGACTGTTTCGGTCTGATACAAATGCTAAGCACGTTGCTGGCGCCACGAGCTTCTCTTGTGTTCCCATTGGGCCGTGCTTTGATTGGATGGTGTTCTGTGCGCACGTGAGCAACAAGCTCAATAGTCTTCACGTGAGCAAGTCGTGCCGGCCAATCTCAGGTCTAACGGCCTAGAACCACCTTCCCATCCCACCCGCGACCACACATGAACAATGACACTTCAGCCGATACCTGTTTGCAGCTCCTTGCTGCAACAGAACCGGGCAAATTGAGTTTTGAAGACAGGGGTCGGCAGAATACTTTGCTGAACATGGAGTATCCCAAGTAATACGCAAAGCAAGGCCAGTCCCCACAACACACTCTTGGAGCATTCGAAAGTTGTTTTGGTCACAGTGGTACGCTTCAAAGTCTCTTACTAGTCTCTTACACTAGGCAAGCCCTGGTCGGCAGTGTCAATAATACTCGCTGGTGCCACCCAAGGGTTCTTTCTAGCTGCCGCACATCTTATTGTCTCATCAATCCAAGCCTTCAAAGCTGGTTGTTGGAGTCTGTGGGAGCCCGCTCTAGCGCTTGACAACAAGATGCAGGTGCTACTCCGCCTTGACAAGGCAGCCTTGTGTCAGGCGTTCACTGACAAAGGAGGACATGGAGTTTGATGCGCCGTGAAACAAATTGAAAGGGACACATCCCAACTTGGAGAGACGTGCCTAGATTGACCCCGGCCTGTAGCCTTCCATTCCAAATGTGCGCTTCCCTGCCTGCGGTGGTATGCCCGCAGCGGGAAGCCGCTCCGGTACCTCTGACACGCAACTGAAAAACAGAAACATCGGACTTGAGACAGTGTGTAAAACAGAATCCCTCAAAACAATATGCAAAGTAACAAAACGCATGTGAAACAGGCGCTTTGCGGAAGGCGGCTGGGCCCATTGAAGAACTGCTGCAAACATTGTGTTGGATTTGGACGAGAGTGGGTGGGGTCCAACAGGAGAGGGTGCTGACGGAGTATTAACGTATCTTGAAAGGCGGTTCAACAGGACCCAGCAACCTGCGTCTCGCTGAAGTTTCAGCACAAGTTTCGACAAGACTGCGGGGATGCAAATGGCTCTGAAAGGGTTTGGAAGGGAGATTCGACGGGGGTTGGAGGGAGGCTTTGATACGCGATCTGGTGCTTCGGCAAAAGTCTCAAAATGGCCAGGGTCAATGGACGCCTCGTCACAAGTTTGCGTGGTGCGGGAGTTTCGATTTGGGGGAGGTGGTCGGCAAGGGCCGCTTTTCGCTTGGACGAAGGTTTGATCTGGCGGTGGGGTGGTGGCAGGCGGTTTGACGTCTTTTGATTTGGGATTGGAAGATCCGCAAATGATTCAACTGGGTGTTTCGACGGTGGGATAGGGCCCAATGGGAGCGTTTGGCGGGGTTCGACCTATGTTTCGTCGCAGTGCTTCGATGGGCATAAGCAGGGCTTTGAAGGGGATGTCCGCTGCGTGCTACCCTAAAACACGTGCAAGCGCAAGGAGCTGGCTGTCGTGATACGGGACCCACTCCTAAGCTCCAAATCACAGGCAACCGAGGACCCATCCAAATCAATACACTAAAAACACTTGCCGTGATGTTCGAAGCCTCGTGGCACGAAACCTGCCTGCTGAGCCGCTGAGGCATTCCAAAGCTGAATCGCACGTGCCCAAATGTGCCATGGCCGAAGCTTCAAAAAGAATCCCAGCACATGGTATCTGATTCATTAAACCCAAGCTTTGACTCAGGTCTCCCCCAAGAAAGGAATCCCAACTATCCTCAAGTACAGTAACACTTTCCAAGGTGCTTGAGGAAGTACACCGCGCCCTTTGCGGTGCCCAGTACTGAGAACGACTGGGAGTCGCAGGCAGCGAAAGCACCTCAGTGAACCCGGCCGAAGGCCCAAGGTCAAATCAAGGCTGAGCTCAGCAGCTCAGCAGCTCAGCAGCTCAGCAGCTCAGCAGCTCAGCAGCTCAGCGTATGCGTTTAGTCCTCTCTGTTTGGCAAAACATGCTGGCGTGCTTCTGGTTTGTCTGGTTTGTCAGCTTGCTGGTTCGATCGCTTGCTTGGGTGGCCTGGCATGTTGCCCTGTGTGCTTGTTTGCTTGCTTGACTTTGCTTGATTGCATACCCGCTTGTTTGCTTTTGTAGTTGCCTGTTGGCGCGCTCGACTTTTGGTTTGCTTGTTTTGCTCGCTAGCACGCTGGATCGCTTGCTTGCTTGCCTGCCTGCCTGCCTGCTCGGTTGCTTTCTGGTTTGCATCCTTGCGTGCTAGCTGTGTTTGCTAGTTTGCGCGGTTGCTTGATTGCTCGGCTGCTTGCTTGGTCGCTTATTTGTAAATGTCTTGTTTGGTTGCGTGGTTGTCTGCTGCTTGCTTGCCTGCCTGCCTGCCTGCCTGCCTGCCTGCTTGATCTAATCATTCTTTGCCGGCATGTGTCTCTGCTTGTTTGCTTCTTTGTTTGGTTGCTTGCTTGCTTGCCCGTTTGTTTGCTTGTTTGTTTGTCTGCTTTCAGGTTTGCTTGCTTGTGCAAGCATGTTGCAGTCCGCATGCATTCTGGTTGCGTAAATGTCTGTGCTCGCTTTGTATTTGGCACAGTGTTTGCTTGCGTTCTCCTTGTCGCTTGTCTTTTGCACCAACCTTGACTTTTTGTTTGCCAAGGATCCCATTTGTGCACAACATATTTATCAAACACATATAGGTGCTGGTCCCCAAGCCGTTGCAAGAAAACCCAATGTTGTGAGCAAAGTATTGTAAAAACACTTCTGTCTGTCATGCTTTTAACGAACAGCTTTTTTTTTGCGATGTTCCTTGTTTTCATGCTTTCTTGCCCCCCCCCCCCCCCCCCCCCCCCCCCTGAGCAGGGGTGTATACTGTACCCCCCCCCCCCCCCCCGAAAAATGGCAGGCCCGGTGTATACAGTATACGCTGGCTGGCTAGCTTGTTTTGTTGCGTTCTTGCGTTTTTGTTTTCGCGCTTTCTTGCTGCCTGGTGGGTGTTGTCTTAACGTGTTTGCGCGTCTGCTTTGTAACTCATTTCTTTGCTTGGTGCTCGACTATCTTGGCTAGTCAACAAGTTGATTGTGCGCGTGCGTCTTCGTTTGTTGTCTTGCTTTTGCAAGTTTAGATATGAGTAGCGTGCCCTGCACGAACAACATGTGAACGCTTGGCGGTCGGAGTGCTTCTAGGCTGAATTGTGCGGCTAGATGGCCGGAAGTTGAAACAAACCTGGGCATGGGAATACTCCCCAAGGCCCTGTTTCAGGAACTTGTCCCTGTGAAGCTGAGTCGCGGAACCAGCCAATCTGTAAACGGGGTCACGGCTGATGGAGTCTCCCTCTGGCGCATTGAAAATGGCTTTTGACCTGGGTATCACAACAGCAAATCACAGTTGGAAAGTCCTGGATAAAGGCTCTCCTCTGCGCTGCATACGTGTGGCGGGAGGTCGTGGGGAGGTGGGGAGGCCACATACAAACCAGTCCACACGCTAAGCATGCTCTGGCAAGTGCTCTGGCAAGTCCTACTTTCTTCAAATGTCCACCGGCAAAGACCTGGGCTGAGTCTTTTCACATAGTTTTTGTTAATGTCTGCTGGCCCTCATTACGTGCCAGCCTCTACTTGCCAAATCTGAAGCTCGCAGCTGACTTGGAGTAAGCCGGCCATGCAGCCGAACCTGGCTGACGATTTGAGCAGTCACTAGTTGAGGCACGCAAACTCAGAAGCGGGAAGAAGCACCACAAAATACATGTTCAATATAGATAAGCGGTCCTCAGAAAACTGGCAGTGCCACTGTGCCACCAACGACCACCACCCCCATCACCCAGTATTGGTGATGCTGGGTACAAAAGATTCGTATAGGACTTCTTATACACCCCATGAAGCTGGTAGTAGAACCAGCCACTCAACTAGCCTGGGGCTTTGGATGCTCGGTTGATTCCTCCCCCCTTTGGTGCTGCATGAAACGTTGCTCTCTTGTCTGGAGCAAATTCTCATTGCAATGCCCTCCTGAATCCCCCTTATCCTCATCGCTCATCGCGCTCAAGCTCAGTTTTTCATAGCCAACGCCCTCTGGTGCGAGCCGACGTAGTCCTGCCAGGCTCAGCCAAGAACTTCTGGCTGCTGATTTCAAAGCAGCGAATATTGGACAAATTATTCGACCGATATCTACTACTCCCAGGCCCTCGGCGGCTGTTGTTAAACAAATGCCTGGAGCCTAACGGGCGCGAGCTGCATATGTCAATTTGCCAGCTGGCGGCACGACTACTGTATGATGGTGCTTCCATGCTTTGTTGCTCAAGGACAACCAAGTCTTTCCGGCCAGCCTCGTCGCAAGCGGCTTTGCTTTGCGTTGTCACGTTTCATGAATTCTCAAGTTGCCGCCATCTTCCAACGTCGACATGCTCAAATGTTGTGTAGACCCTGGCTGTTGCCACTAATTCAACATCCAATAATTCGAATCCTCTTGTTGTAGGTTCGTTGTGATGCCTGCCTTCCGTTTGCATATGCCACAAGCAGGTGGTTCATTGGGCCCTGTCGGTGCGGGCGTGAACATTGAAGTTCGGAGGGACACAGCTTGGAAGTCGAGACAGAACTCAGTCAGCGCAGGATGTCACACTCTCATTGTTAATCCGGCAAACCCAAGTCAACGTTCTGAAGACAAGTAACCTCTCAACTCACTCTTCAAATCGCAAGCGGCAATCCTATCCTTCCGTGTCAACATAAACTGCAAGGCCCTCTGCCTTCAGAAGACGATCAACATCTCCGCGGGGGAAGTTGGCTAGCCTTGCAATGAGCACAGGTTCGGAAAACCAAAACCCCTTGAGCTGTGGGCAAATCATATCTGTTGCGCGACTCGAATTGAACCAAGGCACACCGAGACCCGCGCGCCGGCAAGCCAGCAGCACGCAGGGCGCGGCGCCACCCGTTGCTGGCCTGATGGCCAAGGAGACCCCCGGACCCAAAGTGAATTTGGAAAGATTGGGGCGGTTAGAGCCGAGTGAAACCCTGGATGGACCCCACAAGAAATCAGACTGGAAAAGATCCATGGCTTAAGGTCTGGGGTCTCCCTGTGCCAAACGCAGGCATTCTCGCAAGAGTCCGAAGCTTGGCCTTGCACAGCTCACATTGCTCCAACTGTGCACAACTCACATTGCTCGCGAGAAGGAAACGCCACTTTGAGCGTTCCGAAATTTGTGAAGTCTTGCCTCAAAGCAACTTTGCCTCAAAATTGCGCAACGGACAAACACAACTTTGACTGTGTTGTGTTCCCCTCACAGCTCCCCTGCGTGTTGGGAAACACGCAGGGCAAATCCCGCTGAGCATAGCCGAAAGGAAACCAATCGAAAGCACCAGGATTGGCGTCGAACGACATGCTGCGTCTCCAGAAACCATACCAGAAAACAGGATTTCCTTGTTTTGCACTAACAAGTTGAATCTCCTGGTGTTTTTTCTTGGCAACTGCCATATGTGGAACTCAAACACGGATCCATCTCAAGATCGCACCCGTTAGAATCCTGTTCACTGCTTCAAGCCAACAGGGAGAACATGTAACCCAAAAAAGGGGAACGAACTGAAGCGTCTTGCTCCACACCTTTTTTGTCTGATGTTGCTCAGAGGTACAGGCTCAGGGGTGCAGGGAGGTTGACAACGCGTGTCCAACCCCGCACCTGCACCCCATGCGGAGCCTGTGATCATACCCCCACTTCAGGGCACTGAGCAACCGGAATGTCTCTCACTCCCTCTTTAGTGCGGCTGCGACGCCCGCCGCGGAGCATCTTCAGGACGCAATGTCAAAGCAGACTTGCAAGGCCAACAGTCATGCGGACTGAAGCGCGTTCTAGCGCTGGCCCATGCGCAAATGCAGTGAGGTTGCCTCTGCTAAGCTGTTCTGCCCAGACGTGAATATGCGACGCGATCACTGGCCATTTGTGCTTGTGCCCATGCGGTCATTAGCTGCACAAAAATCTGCATAAGGCCACGAGGTAGTGAGTAACTTAGTCACCCCTGCTTCACATGCTGTGTTATCTGTGCCTGTGGGGATGCAGATGGAGTGGCGCGCGTGCCCCTCAGCTGTCCACACAATGCGCATGAGGGCCAGCTGCGCAAGGGTTTCAAAGCACGCATGTATCGCTGGGCTTCCTTTGGTAAGACATGGCCATTGCTTTTGAACTTTGGAGAAGTTCCAAGTTTCTACAAACCAGGCTACAGATTTGCTGGAGATGAGCCGTTCTGATTTGGAATCGAGCGCGGAAACAAACGAAGGCCACAGTCTTGCGTTGACCGAAATCATGCAACCCGGTGCAAATTGGCGTAAAGATGGTTTTTGCGGGCAATAGTTCGATGGTCTCCAATGCGAAGTTTATGGACCACCCGCACCAGGTCAGGCTGTCCTGGAACTGCACTTGTTTCCATGAAATGGGTGCCAACAGTGAGAGCAAACTGCTCGTGCGAGTTGGGCCGAGACAAGCCTGCCAGAAGGTTGTCCACGAAGAGCCAAGCTCTATGCGGAGTGCCGGCTGGTAGCCATGCAAAAGGCGCAAGCAGGAAGGCCCGCGCGCGTTGCCACCACTACGCTAAGAAGCGTGCGCCGAAATGGCACACTCTGTAATGGTACAGCACTTCTTGAAAGCGGAAGAGCAACAGGCCATGCTCGTCGCGACGCACTTGGATTTGTTTATGTGCTGCTTTAAAGTCGAAGCTGGCTCCGACAAAAGCTGCACGCGTGTCTTCTGGCAGAAAGGCGAGTCTCACATCGGATGCCATTGGAAGGCTCATGCGTTCCGGTACGCTGGAGTTGGGGTTGACCCCAGACACGGCGCTATCCAGAACATGGCGCGGTTCTTTCCCTTCTGCATGCACGACATTGAGCTTGCCTACGGCAATGCCCTTATGCCAATGTTGTCGCGCTTGCTCGAGCGATAAGCTGGCGCGGACCACTCAGCGATTTGCGATTTCCTTCCCGGGCAAGGCTTGCGCAACTTCCGGCTCTGATTCGGCAGCCTTCCAGTTGCCTATGCACTCTGACAATTCAGAGGGCTGCTCGCAACGCTCTTTTTTTCGGGCCATTGCGTGATACGCGGCTGTCCATCCATTGCAACCAGGCAGACGCTACTTTCTTTGCCCAGTGATGTTCTGGCTCTGGCAATGAGTGGTCGGCGGTGGAACGCATGCCCGCGCCGTTGCTGACGTTCAGTCGTCGAGGGTGCAAAGTGAAAATTGAAGGCCGGTGGTTCCTGCACGCGCTGGTCGGAACGTACCTTGAACGCGCAGCGCTGCACGATTGAGTCAGCCAGACTGGCGGGATATTCTGCTGTCAACGTACTGAGGTACTGTCCGCAGCTGTCTCGCACGCCTGCAACGCTGGGGCGCCTTGTCTTACGCGAGCATCTTGCCGCCACATGCAGGATGCACACATTCATACTCGAGAAGCACCAGGATTTGGCGAACATCATGTCATGCTGGCACGCGTCGGCCCAAGCAAGGTGTCCGTGGAAATGTTGCAAGCGTTGAAAGTTTTCTGGTTCGAGCCACGCCACGCTAGAAGAGGGCTGTTCTGATATTGCCACGCCGCTTTGAGAAGCCGCTGCCTTGAATAGCTCCCGGCTTCTCCTATGAGTTTCTTGGCTATGTTGCAGGGCCTTTGGCCCTCCTGGCTTAAGCTTTAGCTTACTATATTCTTTGCACGCCAACGTCAGAAGGCTGACGACACCTGACCAGCATGTGTGGAGCAGGAGCTCGAACCATGTGTCGTCCAGTATGTCATTTTTTGAGTTTATGGCTAGGTCAAACGGTTCGAAACGAGACCTTTTCTGTCTGCGGCAGCTGATATGGGTGCATGCGCGCCTGCGAAGACATCTAACAGCATCCCTCCAGTTGGCTGCTGAGGCGCAAAGGGCTCCTGCGGTTGCACGACGCTGGCAGTGCTTCCGGTACGCGGGTGTAGCCGGCACCCCCCCCCGTGAGGCTGCTGGCATCCCTTGATCGCGCAAACACGCGCATGTCAGCAGCTTTCTGCTTCGCATGTTCCATTCTGGAATCGGCGGCAAATGGGTGTGCCGTTATGCGTGGATGCGCATCCATCTTTGCTCTTGCCTTCACCCTTGCCTTGGCCGCGGCGGTCACTCAGGGGCAGGCAAGGCTTGCGCTGGCTTGGACGCATTGGGTCTAAGCATGAGTAGGGATGGCACTTCCATGCGCCCATGCGTGAGCTCGTGGAATGCATCATCCATGGACCGCTTCTTCTGCGTGAGATCGATGATGGTGCCCCAGATTTTGCAGTCGGCTTGCAGCAGCTCTGCTGTTGTCACTGTGCGCAGTGTCAATGCGGGGCGGGCTGGCTGAGGCACGAGCTTGACACCCGCTGGTCCAATGCTTCTGCGTTAAGCAGACGCACGGCCTGGCACAGTTGCGGAATGCAGTCTGTGTGCGAAGCAGCCAGCCCGCAGTGAGATCCTGCGCCTCTGCGCGCAGTGATGCATCTGCGTATGCGTTTGCAAAGTCGGCAGTGTCTTCAAACCCTCGGGAGGGCACAAACTCAGCGAGTATGTCTGGAACTTTGCAGTCAGACAACAAGTCTTGGAGATGCATCAACTGATTCAGCAGACTCTGCCATCCGAGTAGCAAGGTCGCTGAGTGAGTGAGTGAGTGAGTGAGTGAGTGAGTGAGTGAGTGAGTGAGTGAGTGAGTGAGTGAGTGAGTGAGTGAGTGAGTGAGTGAGTGAGTGAGTGAGTGAGTGAGTGAGTGAGTGAGTGAGTGAGTGAGTGAGTGAGTGAGTGAGTGAGTGAGTGAGTGAGTGAGTGAGTGAGTGAGTGAGTGAGTGAGTGAGTGAGTGAGTGAGTGAGTGAGTGAGTGAGTGAGTGAGTGAGTGAGTGAGTGAGTGAGTGAGTGAGTGAGTGAGTGAGTGAGTGAGTGAGTGAGTGAGTGAGTGAGTGAGTGAGTGAGTGAGTGAGTGAGTGAGTGAGTGAGTGAGTGAGTGAGTGAGTGAGTGAGTGAGTGAGTGAGTGAGTGAGTGAGTGAGTGAGTGAGTGAGTGAGTGAGTGAGTGAGTGAGTGAGTGAGTGAGTGAGTGAGTGAGTGAGTGAGTGAGTGAGTGAGTGAGTGAGTGAGTGAGTGAGTGAGTGAGTGAGTGAGTGAGTGAGTGAGTGAGTGAGTGAGTGAGTGAGTGAGTGAGTGAGTGAGTGAGTGAGTGAGTGAGTGAGTGAGTGAGTGAGTGAGTGAGTGAGTGAGTGAGTGAGTGAGTGAGTGAGTGAGTGAGTGAGTGAGTGAGTGAGTGAGTGAGCGAGCGAGCGAGCGAGCGAGCGAGCGAGCGGCTGGCAAGGAGTGAAACATCACGCCGAAAATTTGGATTGAAAAGTAGCAAGTGGTCTGGGCGTCCGGCCGCGGAGGCGACGCTGGCATGCGATGCTGCCGGTCAGTTGGGATTTGCTTGGCCAGAGCATGTTTCAAGTGTCTGCGCGTGCGACAGGCAAGGTCTCGCTATTCTCACTGCATCAGCGAAACAGTGTGTTTGGAAGCCTTGCGCTTGCACGGGCGACCCTGACCAAGGTATGTGATGTAGAGCACTGGTGTTGCACAGAACGCTTCTTGCACGTGCTCCTGGGAGCCGCTGCAGCCCCTGTGGCCAGTTGAACAAGGCACACGTTTGACTTGGAAGGAGTTGGCAGGTTACCTCGGGTGCCCTCGTCTGTGAGGCCAGCATGCTGGATTCATCTGACGAGGAGATATCTTGCACTGCGAATGCCTCAAAGTCATCATGCAATGCTTGGGCTTGTTCTTCTCTTTCGTAGATGAACATGCGGAGCTCTGCAGGCAGCTCACGCAACGCGATGTCTGCTGGTGTTGGGTCCGCACAAACTGCAAACGCTGGTTCTATCACAGGGTGCTGTCCACCTCGCGATTGCGGGCGGCTTGGTCGCCAGCCTCGAATCAATGCGG